AGAGAGCTTTTTTTAGAGGGTCCAAAGACCTGTGTTTGAAAGCGCAGACTTCTTGCTCTAGAATCGTCTATACTGCAAAATCTAAAGGACTGAGATTGGGGAATTTGAAGGTCAAACCTGCTTCGCCCCAAAACTCCGGAAGCGTGGTTTCACAACATTGCAGCATCTTCTTTGCGCTGTGGCTGGTGCCAATCCNGCCCATACGTTGATTTTTTTATTGCCCGTCACACTTCATGTGGGTCACCCTGTATAACACGCTAAGTTTATCCGTTGGTTTGTTGATGTGTTTGCCGATGTTTGTTTTGGACTGGGTAACAACTCATGTTTCCTTCAACTTTGACCGATACTTGAAGAGATATAGAGCACGGTACCAAGAAAGCACAAGCACGCGTTCGTGTACCCCTCGAGACCCGAGCTTTGCCCATAACTCGCCACTCATTTGAGACTCTATCACGTACTACGACGGTACAATATCAACTAACAGGACCAGGTCGTGTTCAAGCAAATACAAAACTCCATAAAAAACGTTGTTTGCAATGTCATCATTACAAAAAAACAGGTGTTATACGATCGAAATTTCAGATAAATTCAAATGGTTACAGAAAAGAGCGCGCTATGGTATTTTAGGTGCTCGACAAAGGCCAGAATGGTGCTCCAATAAAGTTCGCTACGATAGGCAATACCGTGTACCACAGGTAAGTATTCAGCTCATCTCCTTTTCTTCAACCGTGTTATCCGTTGATTTCACTGCAAGAATTAATGGCCACCCCTGCGACACATTTAATGGACCTTATGCTACAAAATTTTACATTATTTGAAGATTCGAATCAACATGCTGACTTTTACTAATACAAGGTTTGCTAATAATAGTGATTTGAGCAATTTCAGTACTGTTCCACTTAATGACCCAGTTGCCAGCGTCATTGCATCGCAAGCAATAATAAGCGGCTATAATTTCTGTTGGAACAGACACTACAGCCACTCACAGCGCAAAGTCTGTAAACTTCAGTAGATGACTTTGTAATTTGAACCACTCAAATGAATTTAGTGTGGGATTCCCTCTTCAAAGGCGCTTCGACGCTTTACTTCTCTCGCCCTACACGCGCGGTAACTCTTTAAAATCGAATAGCCTGTGCAGTTCACAAAAAAGTCGTTTGGAAATTTTCTCTTTTATATTTCCTCAAACTAGACCTTTACTGTGCAATAAGGAACATGCAGTTGATTTTGGTGACTATCGTCCAGTCTACGTGCTGTCTGTAATCTATAATATTTCCACATTAGTCATACTAGGCAGAATCGACAGAGTAACGGTGAAGGATAGCTGTGCAAGCAAGCAGGGTTTCGGCGAGAGTTCACTACAACCAATCACATCCACACTGTTACAAGTCTCACTGGAGTATCGCGAGAGTACAGAATGCCGTTTATTCTTGCGCTCATCGATTTGAAAGAGTCTTTGATACTGTCTAGACAGAAACGGTAGTTGACGGCTTCAGCAACCACGGTGTTCCTACTCAATGTAAAAGGGTGCTTTATGAACTCGACAACAAATTCACGGTTAGAGCCTCGCCACTTAACGAAGTAGTCATCGTTACGTGAAGAGAGGGATTTGGCAAAGCAATATCATTATGCCCAAAGTTTTCAGTGCCGATCTCGAAACAACGTACGACATTTAGTCCGGAAAGAGTTGAGAATGAGGGTGATGGCCCTACTTACGTCGCCTCTACAGAAGTCATAACGAAATTATAATATCGAACAGCGACCAGGCGGAACAAATGCTGATCTAGCTTGACAGACCTTGTGGAGTTGTGAAATCAACATGATGATCGACCTGCATCACAGATGACCTGGGAAAATGGAGGATATTGAGAAAGTAGTAAAAAAGTCAAAACACACTGGCTCCATGCTCACATTTTCAACACTACTTTGACGTACGCCTCAAATACTTGGGCTCTACGAAAGCAGAGTGATCAGACATTCATCACATTGTGGGAAGATCAGCGCTCGGATTTTACATCTACACGCAAGGCAGAAGTAAATTCGGGTTTTTGAGATCAGCCAAAAATGAGCATCAAAGACATAATTACTTACGCCAAAGAATCGAGCCTAAACGGACCGACGCGCTATGCGATATTGTGATGACCGTTGGACCAGAGCGCTTATTGAATGGGTCTATTTACACGTCAATCCAACGCGAGGGCAGCAGTCAGTGCAACGGCCATACTTCTTCACAAGCGCTCTGAGCGAAAAGAATGCTGTGGCATTGTCCCTCGTGCAAGGAGGATCCACTGGACCTCACAGTCCTTCCGTCTTTGGCGTACGAATCGGAGATCTGGACTTTATGAAAGCGGGATGAACATCCAGTCTGCATTATTGAGCGCGCTCACTATTTCCTCAGACTTCTTCGGAAAAGCTCTGAGCGGAAGGAATGCCATTATTCATGTCTCTCGAGTGAGGAATCTGGCTCGCGACCGCGACGAGTGGAGACCTTACTGGCTAGAGGAATGGATTATCAAGGATAACAACATAAAGCTCTCTCCCAAAATTTCGATTATACGCCGTTCAGATTTATGGTAACAGCGAAAGGCAATCGTTGCAATTTTTCTAATTGTAGCTAGCCCTTCACGCTAATTCTTAAAATTGACATATCATTCGAGTACTCCTTCGATTCTACTTCCGTCATCGAGAGGGAATAAGATACAAGTTTGATTGTTCGCACCTTTACTCACTCGCTTGTGGGGTGATCTCGCTTGAGTGGTTGACTGCTGACTTTTCTTCCGTTTTCTTACACAGGGTGACCCACATGAAGTGTGACGGGCAAGAAAAAAGATCAACTTATGGGCTTTTGAGCTTCAGGATGCGGTGATCCCTTAGGCGGAAAGGAACGCGATAAACGTCAGCTGAACCTTTCGCAGGATTGGGCACCAGTCACAGCGTTAACAAGATGCTGCAATGTTGAAAAACCACGCTTCCGCGTTTTTGGGTCGATGCAGGTTTGACCTTCTAATTCCCCGATCTCAATTCTTTAGATTCTGCAGTATTGACGATTCTGGAGCAAAAAGCCTGCGCTTTCGAACACAGCTTTTGAGACCCTCTGAAAAAAGCTCTCTCTTAGAAGCGTGGGATGAAAGTGATTGCGCGCATTCTTGAAAATTCCGAAAGAGGTTGGATGCTAGCATTAAAGCGAAAGATGGCCATTCTGCATGCGAAATGTGATATGTTGTTTACAATTTTGTGATGATTGTATGGGAGTAAATGTTTCCTATTTGGTTTGATTTGTGTAATTTTGATGCTAGTTTTCTGCGTCACACTTCGTGTGGGTCACCCTTAAACTAATACCGATTAATTGAGTTATAAACCTCATCATTATCACCATGTGCTGGGTAGATATAAACATATAGAAGTATGTAGAGCCCGCGGTTTTTGACGGAGGTCACAGCTGTCTGTGGTATATACTGTTTGCGCTCGGTCCACGGCACTCAATTCAAAAGGAAAAATAACGGACTAGGGCAAGTCGGTCGCTCCACTGACACTTGGTGATACTGTAATGCCAGCTCAAGATGACATTACAGTACCACACGACTGAGAGTTTTGGCAAAAACGCGAAACGGACGTCCACCCTTTATCCTTTATGTTACATGTAGGGTTTTTGAGACATATAGCACGGAGAGGTGTTTGAGGACTTTTTATGCCCTAATATGAAGGGAAGAACTCAGGTGAAAATATCAGTGTTGTTATCTAGAAAGGAAAAAAATTTTAAAACCGAACATCATCTTTTGAAGCAATATTTTTAGTGGGCAATTAGAAAAGAGAGGAAAGTAGTTTGTATTTTCAGGTGGACGTGCGACTCAACAGACAAGGCAAAGTTTTGCATGACTGTCCATTCCTGTATTGCGGACGATGGACAAGGAATGGGACAACAGCTAATAGATGAGAGAGGGTAATTCTATCGCTTCGTGCTGGGAATATTTATTATCATGGTGGGTTCACATATAGCTCGTACCGTTATGCCGAGACGACAGGATGAGGACAAGTGCGTCTATTCACACTGTGACCTGGATATCCTTACAGTTCACTGGTCGGGTATAGCAGAACAATTTTTCATCGTTGCACCTTATAAACACAAATTGTTGATGAAGAGCAAGAACGCAATTTCGCATTCTTCCAATCGCCTCGCTTAGCGTAACGAAAACGAAGCGATTTGCATAGTAGTTCGCAGGTATTTGCAAAATTCTCTGTTTTGATGGGGTGCACTTTCAGAGATCACATCTTTCTCTCATATGTCCCTTCAACCTATGATGTGACCATTACGTTGTACAAAAAGTATCTGCGGGAAATTTTGCGGTGGTTCAGATTTCTCGTGAGCAAGTGCGTATATAAAATTTGGTTACGTCTTCTATGCTTATTGAACCATGAAGAAGGCTATGTAATGGCAAGTGGCGCTCTATCACACACACGCATGGTCACGTGCTCGAATCCCAGCTCGGTTTCGCCGTTACAACTAACCCACCCATCTATCCTCCGGATACCGTCGTTGTGATAAAAGCACTGAATTGTACATCGGTCGGCCACCGCAAATCGTTGTATATGCAACATACGAATTCATTACACCACTAAGATTCTGAATAGAAGTGAATACGGAAGCGTACCCCTAAGAGGGCGCACAAAGTGACCTTATCCTCTATGATTGACGATGGCCGGGCTGTCTACCCGCATCCATCAAGTACTTCTCTACGAGTTGAAGTCCAGCTACTCCACTGCTACTCCTTCCATTGAAACTAGTTCCAAGCATCTGGAAGTTCTGAGATGAACGCCGATTTGATCGACAGATTGCGATATCATGAATTTTTATGACATGTTGTGCGCATACACGGGATTAACGTCCTTTTATAGTTCTTCTATGAGACTTTCGGAATATTCCAGGAACAGGACTATTGTGAAATTTCCAGCAGACACTTTCCACACAAGTTAATAAAATATCTGAACTGTTTGACTAAAAATTTTTGCACAATTACAGGTGCTCTCTCGACAGCTTCCTCTTGAAGGATCTGAACTACGATGATAGCTTGACAGCAGGGCAGGAAGCACAAGTGTTCAAATTTGCTGACAAGCCAACTATATTCTTTTCATGTACAATCCGATTGGAACTCAAGGAAGAGTCTAATGACGAATGCATTGTCAGAACTTCACTGAATCAGAATTTCATTAGTTTATTAAAAAATGTTCTTTGCCTTGATGTAGGTGTTCAGAATTTAGATTTATTGGAATCTATAGATTTGTTCAGCATCCGTCACAATACTGCACAGATCCAAGACAAGAATCTTTACCATTCCGTACACAAAATCGTGTGTCAACTGAAATCTCGAAGGACTTTCCGAGACCACCGGCGAATGTATCTGACGAGGAGGTAACCCTCATACTGGCTTAGTTCAGCTTCCGAGCAATTTTCTGATTCGAGCTCTTGCTGATAATCCGTTTCCTTTTTCATCGATGTCAGGTGAAAAGTTATTCACACAACTTCCGGACCTATCTTTGTACGGGAACCTTGCTACGCTAGCTGGCAATTTAGGTACAGTGAGCCAGTTCGGCTGGAACGGGGATGGGGCTTAACATGTGCGTGAGTTCAGTACGGCGTTTAAGCGATGGAGTCAAGTGGTAAATCTGTAAGGTCCCTCACAAGGACTACACTGAATTGGCGTTCTGCTTCGAGTGTTAGGCGACACATGCGCAACTTAATAAATTATCGTAACGAAAAATAAAACAACAATATAACGAACAAAATAGCACAAAAATGAGGCACAAAACAAAGGGGCTCAATCAAGAGATTAAAGTGTGTCGGGGACAGAGAAAAGGCGGGGGTCCTACCGCAGACGATTCGGCCATTAAGGCCTTCTTCAGGCTACCTCGTTCGCGAACCACACGAACCACAGAGGTTCGCCCCAGAGCACTAACCAAGGGTCCAAGGGCACGGAGTCAACTCCGTGGGGGGCACTGGTGGCGAGAAAAGGAAGAAAACAAATGACGAGCTCCTGCTCTCGAGGGTCCCCGTACCCTTTCTTTCCCCAGGCATGTTTACTCCTGCGACCCTCCTACCTCCTGATCACTAGGTCACCTACAGTACTCTGATCACCCTCGACCCGGCGGTGTTTTGATCTCAGGGCATTTCTTCTTTGGCGGGACTCCACCGATGCGGTTCTCTCTGTACCGCCCCGATTAATCACATTATCTCAGCAGGGGTGCCCACAGATTGCTGGCGAAATATTTCAGCTCACTTCAAGGAAATCACTGTTATTGAGTGGATTCCCTGCGCTTTATTGTCATGATTTTTTGCACCTATGCTTACGAGATTTACTGGCACGTACTCTTAATTTTATATTTCCTTGAAGCAATCAATATAACTAAGTTCTAAAGGCGACAAGCCGAACTACTCAGTGTTAGGAAGTGTCCCACGATAAGATCAAGGGAAGTATTATAAAAAAGCGAGTTTCTCCGATATTATAATTATCTTCTTGGATACATTTTTGGCGTGGATGACATTTCCATTCATACTTGAACCGTTAACTTGGAGCACCACCACTCGGCTATGGAATAGGTAGGGCTAATAGACTTGCCCGAGAAGGCACGGTTGATGCTCCCAGCTTTGCTGAACAACTATAATACATGCTCCATTACAGAGCTTTGACAGCTTCGAAATCGGTGGGTTAAAANAAAACAGAGAATCATAAGCCGCTTCTATTCAAACACCTCATTGCGCCTTAGTGTTATGGCATTCTGCAGCCGCTTATTCAACTCAGTTTCCTGTATAGTCAGTTGGACGGCTCCGAGGTGTTCCTGCATTAGTGTATACTTTAACCGTACGTTCGAGACAATGATTTGACAGCTAGATCTTACTGAAAGTTTTACGCACTGGTGCACTTGTTCCCGTACTTTCCTCGTTTCGGGATTTGATCTTGCTATCCGACTCCTATCTTATCGATCTTTCCAAGGATAATTAGGGATACTTGTTGATGTCAAAATTTTAGAATAAGGAGTACAGGCACTTCATGACAAGTACTTCGCTGAATATCAATATCAACCGGTAACAGTAATAGTCATGGTGAAATTTTTTTGTTATATTTATTCATGTATTTATTTATTTATCTATTGCACAGCGGATGTGAAGACAAAAAAGTCAGTGCTAAGGTGCGTCAGGGTAACAATAGCATAGCATATGTAGTACTTACCACACTAAATACATATACTTTTGCAAACTACAATGGCTACAATGAAGGCGTAAACGGTGGAAACGAAGGAAGAGGGGAGGGGGGGAAGTCGACGGATCGCCCGGGAAAGGAACGGCAGTGTCCCGGCCAAGTACTGCAGGCGGCTAGAAGGAATGGAAGCTCGGGATATCAGCTTAGTAGGTCCGCCAACCTCTCCCAGGGCTCAGAAGAAGGGCTACAGTGTTAACCAAAGGTGACGTATTGGGCCAAAAAAATTATGGGTTATTATTATATGCAAGTCAGCAGGTTTGAAAGATGACTTCACCGGTGACGTGTTGTGCCCTTTCCTGAAAACAAAAAGTTCCAATTTGAAGCATCGTCAAAACCAATAGATTATTTGCTCTCGGAATCGTTTTTGGTATATTGAGCCACCTATGTTCAGGAAGGAGAAGAAGGCATAATCGACAATGTGGATAATTTGGTGGAGCAAAGCACAGCTGAGGAATATGTGTGAGAAAATTGTAGACTGAAGAGGAAGGCTCTGTATTTCATGACGCGTTAGCTGTTATTACTCATATGCACGATCTAGGCCGTCCCGGAAAATACGACAGTCAAAGCGGCATGTCGCTGATGTTGATGTGAGCACACAATCTGTCGATATACTAGATTTTCCAGAATATGGTAAGAGATGATTTTCAATTTCTTTAAAACGTCACCATAAAAAAAACACTGCAAAATACTAAATACCAAACTTCCTTGTTTCAAAAAGCATAGGAGCGCTAGCTCCATATTCCTTATCACCCGAACATCATTTCTACTTCCATGAGTTTTTTTGTAATAAGAAATTCCTGCATCAAACTGCGGGAGAACTAGTCAAAGAAAACTGTGACAATTAATCATGAAGTTTCTGGATATTTCTGTAGTTTGTTCACATATGAAGTACTTTTCAGTGCAGATGGTTCGCTGTTTTTGTAGGTTAACGCCACTTTTATCTATATAAGTCTTATGCCGTCTGCCTGTTGCCTGATCTTTGTTTCGGAGAGATACTTCTTGATCAGATCCCTCCACTTCTTCTTTAGAGCTCGATGTGGTACCTTTTCTTTTGATCAAAGTCCATTGCCTTTCACATGGCGTTATCCTACATATTGCTTTCCCAGCACGAGCCCATACCAACACAGACTTTGCATCTTCAGCTGGACAGGGCCGTTTGCGAACAGCCCTGGCGTCCTCTTAGAATTGAGTCTAGCAGCAGGCCCCATTGAACATCTTCGTTTCAACGAGGAGAAGCCGCCTTTCATTTTCACTCATGGATCAGCACTCTCTACCACTTGCTCTGGAGTTCTTCTCTGCTTGCCTTTTACCAGTGCTGGTATGAGTGTTTTTTCTTATTCTGAACTCGCTGAACCTGATTGTCTCTGCACAATGCTACCCTGTTGCCTCTAGGTCCTCCTCGAGTATCCCTCAGCGCTTTCCTTGCACGCTGTAGGATGACATCAAGCTTTGCTCCAAGTTTGAGGGACCGTTACTCCAAGATTTGGGAGGTTAGCTTCAGAGATCATTTACTTGAGCTTCGTCTTTTGCTCAGGTGCGGCATCCACTACCGTATTTTCGCTCCGTTATCACCTTACACTTCTTATCCTTTGGGGCTTGGTGGGTATTTCAGCAAAAAAAAGGAATGGTGTGTGATACCACTTTTTCTTCGTCGTCAGGCAGTACATTGATATCCTTTACTGTTTGAGGGGCGATCTTCTACGAGTACGAGCATTTGGTCTATTTCCAATTCCCCCCCCCCCCCCCCCCAAGCAGCAAATGTTTGGAATTATATTGCTCGCTGTTGTACCCACAAGAATACTTTGTTTTTCTACTTGCCGTGAACGAAGAACTCTAAAGCAATTGCTTGTTTCGACTTAAAGGTAAACCGAGAATCTAATCCCCATAGGTAAAACGAGAATGAAATCCCATTAGGCTCTTTTTATCGTTATAGACTTTCTTTATCGAATTCTTATCGTTATGCTAGTCAAGTATGAATGACTCTATGCCCACAGGAGAAGCCCGCAAACAGATATTCAGCATTTATATAATTAACTAAGAGGTTGTTCGTATTGCAGAACAAGCAGGATCCTTTGCGGTGACATTAGGATGAACTGGTAGTGATATATTTGCTAACTTCAAAATCTTGGAGCGTAGTTTTTCATTTTCGTATAGAACTCTGTGCATACCTAAGCTATTCAGGGTTTCAGTTGGAAAGAGACAATATAGGCGCATTCCCTAGTTCTTCTAATTTACAGGTTGGCCATTTACTTATGTATAGTGAAACGGTTAAGCCATTGGCTACGAATTTCGCCGTTACTTACAGGTGTGTGTATCAAGAATCTCGTTAGGCTTCATACTAAGCATATTCGCATTTCTCGTTGCGATGAGCATTCTTCTCTACCTTCGGTTATCGCCAAGAATGCGGAAAACAAGGAACACTGTAATTCGAGGTAAAATTCTGTTGTGGCTCCGAGTTTGAGGTTCCCAGAATTTTGCTCTGCTTCAGAGACACAACAACAACAACGCTCCCCCGTTCCTCATACGGTACTCTGGCAACCTGCCAGCCGCTCAAAACACGGATCGGAATAGAAGGATGCTTTCAGCTGTGTCGAGGTTCGACAATGGCAGGCAACAGAAATGGTTTTTGAAGCGTGCTTCTCATTTAGGAGGGGGAATTCTTGAACTTATATCTACATATTGCCGATATGTTTGGTGTTAAGCCAGACCTATGGCATATTTGTATGCTCACTACACTACGATGCTAATTATTTGATTGCCTTTCTGCCCTCTGTTCTTCTACTATAATAGATAAAAGCCACTTACAGAGAAGGAAATAATTCGATCAGTTTGCCTATCATTATATCATCTTAAATTGGATCAGGGATAAAAGAAGGAAGAGCCGTTTTAGGATATAGCTGGGCAGATTGGATGTAGCTAAACGATGCCTTAGTGCGAAGGATATGCAGTCGGTCTTTGGTTATGAGATTTATTGGTAACTATGTTGTCAGCTAATTACCTCTCAGATTTTAATGGCTGAAATATTGTTTAACTATGACTCGAACATGTTTGTAAAGCTCACTACCTCCATCTATTGTTACGTATAAAGTTTGTAGAGGAAGTTGCAATAATAGTGTACTTTAACTCACTGACGACCATGCAGTCCACCTGTGAACTGC